AAGCAGATTCTTATCCACTGCACCCCCGGGGAAGTCCTGCAGGATCTCCTTTTTACCAAAGAAACAGCTCTGGGGAGGTCAGGAAACTCATCCACATCCTGGTCTAATTCCGGGGCTGCTGCTCCCACCTCTCACCAGGAGACCCTGCAACCAGGAATGCTTTTGGGTTGAGTGTGTGCTCAGTCACTTCAGTCATGTCTGACTTTGTGAGCCTATGGGCTGTAGGCTGCCAGGCTCCTCTGTCCATGGGCTTCTCCAGGAAAGAGTACTGGAGTGGGTTGCCATGCCCACCTTCTACGGATCTTCCCAACCCAGGAATTGAACCTTTGTCTCTAAATGTCTCCTACATTGACAGGTGGGTTCTTTACCACTAGCGCCACCTGGAAAGCCCACTTTCAGGTTGACACTTGACAGAATGAGCACTGCAGACATGAGCATCATTTTTAAAAATCTGTCCCTCCCCTCCCTTATTGCCCCTCCCCTCAAGATCACAGACTCTGGAAGCCTCAGCACAGGCAGACTTTTTTGGTCTAAGCTTGGGGAATTGGCAAAAGAAAGAAACAAGCTTCAAGATTCTAATTAACTTTGCTTTTTAACTACAGATGAGCCACTTTTTGAGTGATCTGGGGGTGAGAGTCTCAAAGATTAATGAAAATATGCATAAGTGGCAGGAGAGCAGGAGGCAGACACTCCTGTAATTAAGTTCCTTCATTCCTCCTGCTTAGAGAGTAAAGAGATCAAGGGAACAAAAGGATGGGGGAATTACGTGAATAATCATGGAGGGACTTCCCTGGCAGTCTGGTAGTTAAGACATGGTGCTTCCATTGCAGGGGGCTTGAGTTCAGTCCCTAGTTGGGAAACTAAGATCCCACCTGCTTCACAGTGTGGCCAAAAATAAATAAATAAACAAATTAAAAACAACAACAACAACAACAACTGTGGAAACTGTCTCCTCATTTTGAGGAGGATTATTTTCCAGAATCATCTTGTTTTTCCTAATAGAACTTAAAACAAGCATTTAACTTTTTTTTTTTTTTTTTTGGTTGTTAGTTTCATCTTTTTTTTTTTAGTATAGCCTTTCTCGTCTTAGCCCTAGTCAACTTTCTTTTTTATATATAAGACAGTTGTGTCCCTTTAAACAAAAATTATTTATTTATTTGTTTGTGGCTGTGCTGGGTCTTTGTTGCTCTAGTTATGGTGATTGGGGGCTCCTCTCTAGTTGCAGCGCTTGGGCTTCACATTGCAGTGGTTTCTCTTGTTGCAGAGCATGGACTCTAGGGCATGTGGACTCAGTACCTGTGGCTCACAGGCTTAGTTGCTCCATAGCATGTGGGATCTTCTGGGATCAGGGATTGAACCTGTGTTTCCTGCATTGGCAGGCGGATTCTTTACCACTGAGCCACCAGGGAAGTACTCCTACTCAGCTTTCTTATCTGACCACATCTAAAAATGCTATAGAGAAAGAAAAATAATTTTCCTTCTAGCCTTCTAAGTTCCTGGCTGAGACCCCTCCTACCTGCCCTGTAATAAAAAGAGTAATAGGAGAAAAACAAATTTAAATACATACATATGTACGAAAGCCCCCCCCAAAGATATGAGATTCACAGAAGTCACCAGACTTCTTTGTCTATACCTTTAAGACAAAGAGACAGTTTATGAATTGACAAGAAAAGGGGTTTGGGCTAGGGGCGGTAAGATGGTGAAGAAATTAACAAGGTTTGTTTATACAGCCTCCATCTGTCCATGCTCGTGCTCAGTCATGTCTGACTCTGGACTGTAGCCCACCAGGCTCTTCTGTCCATGGGATTTCCCAGGCAAGAATACTGGAGTGGGTTGCCATTTCCTTCTCCAGGGGATCTTCCTGACCCAGGGATCAAACCCATGTCTCCTGTGTGGATTCTTCACTCGTTGAGCTGTCAAGGAAACCCCTTGCCCCTAAATTCCCTGCCTCTGGTGATTAGGGATGTCTTTTTCCTCTTGGTGCAGGGAAGGTACCTTTCAGGTGGAAGATTTACTTCCTGGTTTTAGGGGACAAGGAAGGTTCAGAGTGTCCTTTTTGCACTGGCTGTTTCTCAACTCCTTTTAATTTCAAATAATCAATATACCAAAGTGGCGTATCTGGGGTTGACATACTCTGACCCTGTGCAATGCTGAGGGCCAGGTTTGAAAAGGGAGAGACAAGCAGAATTCCAGGAAGGTTGGAGGTTGGGATATGTGTGGACAGCAGAGAGAAGCTGACATTTCATCACAGTGAGCTTACATAGAAATGTCAGGACAGGGTGCAGAAGGAGAGACTCATGGAGCAAATCCGATTCCCTCTTACAGGCCTGCTGAATGTGACAAGGGGCTCTTGCAGGTGGGAGCAGAGGCTTATCTGATCTCTTGCTTCAAGCTCAGGAACTTATAAAGAGGAGATGGTTGGATGGCATCACTGACTCAATGGACATGAGTTTGGGCAGACTCCAGGAGTTAGTGAAGGACAAGGAAGCCTGGTGTGCTGCAGTCCATGGGGTCGCAAAGAGTTGGACTCGACTGAGCGACTGAACAACCAGAGCTTTTGGCAGCAGCTAGTAGAGAAGTGGGACTTTAATTTGCTTATGCTTTACAACAATGGTGAAACTAATTTATTGATCCACCTAACTAATTTCTTTATATCCTCACTTGTATTTCAGAAAGGAGTTAATATATCCGAACTTGGAACCAGATCGGACAGTTTGATTTTTCTTCCCTCTCTGCCACTAACTAGTGGGTCACAGCATCTCTGTTAGAGAAAACATGTCTGAGCATTTCATATACCACACACCAGGCACTGTCCTAGAGACTTTCCACATGTCTGTATTAATTCACTTAACTATCTCCCAAACAGCTGATTGCATGCTGCCTCTTTCTAGAGTTTGTCAGTGCAGTTCCAGGACATTCGTGAATACAGGCAGGATGACTTCTGTGACTTTTGCCATTTCAAAGAATCCTGGGTTTTTCTCTTGGTCCAGAGGAAAATAATACCCTCATTTGAACATTGTTAATGGGACCTTGCTTTGAGGTTGACTTTCAGTCAAACCCAGGCTGGAGAGAAAGGAAGTCTGCACCACGGGGCCCCTAGGGAGAAGGGCACCCACAGGTGGAGATGGGACCAGCCAAAACCTGTCAGCTACTTGGAAAATCTCTTCTGTTGCCTGGCCTTAGGGGGTCTTATCCTTTCCTGGTTGAGGCTTGTTAGGGATACTACCCCTCCCCAGTCAGGATGCCTGTCAGAGAACCCCTCCCTGCATGTTTGCCCATCCAAAGTCCAGGTGTGACCCTGAGGCTTATACTTCATCCTGGGAAACACCGATTCTGTGTATTAAGGGCGGCCCTACCGACCTCCGCCCCCACCCCCACTGGCTACCCCTCCCTCCTCGGGCTGAGTCCGGGTCCCATCCACGAGTGTACTGTCTGCTGCTGCAAGGAGGAGCAGGAGTGGAGGTGGAAGCTTGCCAGTGGCGCCCTGGGTTGGGTGCCGGGTTGTTCCCACCCAGCGGCCAGGCTCCGCCTTCTCCAGAGATTGTCGGCCAAGTGCATAGCTCACAGCGCTGTGTGGGTAAATAGTGCGGTTCAGAGTGAATGCGCACTAGTGCGTGTGTGTCTGTGGTGTCCACGGCTGATTGTGGGTTGACAGAGTGTGTGTTTGTGTGTGTATTTTTGGTCTCTGAGTATTTGTACGGGTGTATGTGACTTTTAGCATCATTGTGTGTATCATTTTATGTAGAAGAAGGAGAAGGAAATGGCAACCCACTCCAGTATTCTTGCCTGGAGAGTCCCATGGACAGAGGAGCCTGGCGAGTTACAGTCCATGGGGTCGCAGAGTCTCACACGACTTAGCCACTAAACCACCACCACGTGACTTTGCGCATCATTGTGTGTGTCAGTTTACGTAACTGTGCCCAAGTGTGTGTGTATGTGTGTGAACGTGCATGCGAGTGTACTTTTGTGTGACATCCGCTGACGGGATACCGAGGGGGATCCTCCTATCCTGAACCCCCTCTCTTCTCTTCTCGAGAAGCCGGGGGCGCCCAGCACCCCCGGCCCTGACAGGGGTGCTGGGGCTAGTACGCAGAGATCGCCGAGGGCTCCGGGACTTCCCAGGACCTGTCTGCCTGGTCCGCGCATCCCAGGCTTCTTCAACATTCCCGGGAACTTCTGTTGGAGTGTTTCTCCTGCCCTTTTCCCAGGCTCTGGGCGAAGCTGGGATGGAGGGAGGCTCCTTGGGCTCGGACAGGCGGGCCTGCCTTGGGCACCTCACCTGGAACTCTTGGTGGAGGTGGAAAGCCGCTCAGGCCAGCTTTCTTCCGCCCCAGGGGTGGGACACCCTGGGGTCACTCCGAACCTCACACTCTCCTCAGCCATTTGTGCTCCACTGTGGCGGAGGTTGAAGTTCCGGGCGGTGAACTCCGGAGAGCATTCGAGGGGACCTGGGACGTTGCAGGGCACGAACCGTATGAACTTGGTACCAATCCAAAGTGGTCCTAAAGCTCTAAGAAGCTGTGGGATTGGGTGCGGAAGTGTGTGTGTGTGTGTGTGTGTGTGTGTGTGTGTGTGTGTGTGTGTGGTGCGGGGTGGTAGTGAGGTTCCCTGCCCTCCGAGCTTCTGCTTTATTTACAACTCGAGGGAGAACAATGCCCACCTTACAAGGTGACGCCTGGATAGCATCTGGAACGAAGTGCATGGGGATTACCGCGCTGTCTCAACACGCTGTGCCTGCACGCATAGTTCATCTTAATGAATAGATGTATCGTGACAGTCCCGAGTTAACCTATTTGTTTTCTAAATCGGAACTGAGAGAGGGACTCCGATGGAAAGGGGGGCCCAGAGGCTGGGCAACAGTCCGCGCGCTGGATTTGAGCGAGGTACTCTGGTGACCCGGGCTCCTGACAGGTGACACTGGCCCCGTGCCCCGCCCTTTCTGGTGATTCCCTGGGAACCCGAGCAGTCTGGCCAACGGCCCTCCCTCGCTCACTTTGCAGGTGGCATTTTCTATCCTCTGGTTACCGGCAGAAAGGGGGGGACGGGGCCAGCGCGCGCAAGCTGTCCGGGGTCCCCTGGCTCCAGGCGCAGCCCCACCCGCCCGCGGGTAGCAGCGGGGCTCGGGGAGGATTTGCGGCGGCGTCCGCGAGGCGCAGAGCGCACGCCTGCTCTCCAGAGCTTCGCCCAGCTGGGGCAGTGAGAATTTGCCGACGGTGCCCGCACCTCGACTGGCCCCGCCCCGACCCCGGGACGCCCCGCCCCCTGGCCCTGCCAGCGCCGGCCCGTTGTCCGGGCCCCGCCCAGGGCCGCGCCCCTCGCGGATGCCCCACTCACCGGCTCCGCGCCGCGGGCCTGCCCTCAGGCCCCCGCGGGCTCCGCGCCGCCGCCCGGAGGCTCGCGCCCTCCCATCGCTCCGGGACCCGCCCGCCGCGTCCCCTGGGCAACAGTCTCCAGGGAGACCGGGCTCCGCCCCCGGCACCGACACCCGGTACGGAGCCCACCTGTGCGGGCGTCTGCGGGGTCCCAGTGCCCCCTGCTCACGCCCCACCCCGCCCAGCGCCGGGCTTTGTCCGCGAGGGGAGATCCCGGCCCGGGGGTGCGGGGGCTGGGGAGGAGGGCGCGTTCCGGGGCGCACCCGACCCCGCTGCGGAGGCCGAGGCAGCGGGCCGCGCTCGCGTTGTGCTTCTCTGACGTGGACTGGTTCATAGTCTCCTTTTCCCGTTTTATTGCCTCCCTTTTATGCCTCCGGGGGGCCGGGAATACGGGGTGTCCCGCTTCCGCCCTTGGTGGGAATGAGCAGGGCCCTCCGCCGGGCTCCGGACGGGGACGCGCGCCTGTTCAGGGCAAGATGTTTACTTGTCAGGGACCGAGCAGTTGCCGCGCGCGCCTTCCCCTCCCCCTGCCCCCGATTCGGGACGGAGCATCCTGCGCTCCGTCCGTTCCCAGTGATGCCTCCCAAAGCTTTGCCCTTGAACCCAGAGGGCTAGAGGGCAGCAGACCCGGCTCCTGAGGTCCCAGAAGGTGCTGAGGGCCAGAGCGAAAGACGCACCTCCTCCCTGACCGCCCTCCCGTGAATTCTGTCCCGGCTCTCTGTTCCCTGACCTGAATTCCTAAGGACCAGTTCCTTCCTTGCCTTCTCTAACCCTCCATTCTCTCGGCTCCATCGCGCTTTCAGCTTCGTCCTTTCTCGTTTTGAAAGTGCTTTTGCTTTGATCGAGTCTCATTTCCCTGTCACTGAGCTGCTGTTTTTGTCCTCTTGTTAATTAGCTTCCTTGGTCAGCGATGCAAGTTATTTCTTAGTTCTTGTCGCTGATCTCACCTTTCTCTGGTAGCTTTGCTCTAGGAAGTCCTTACCATCCTACCCTGGATGCTGAGTGGAGGGACCATCCGAACCCTGCAGCAGGGTCCACGGGGTATCCTTCCAGGGGTTAGGCTGGCAGCAGGGAGAATTCCAGCTTGGACCTTGGGGCGGCATCTTTTCCAACAGCTTCCTAGAACTGGGCGTTTTGTCTCATGGAGAAGCAGCCAATGGTTTAGGTTTCTTGCTCTTCAGGAGCCCAGTGGGTTCCAGGCAGGAGAAACCAGCTGGGGGGTGGCGGGTAAGCGTCATGTCCTGCTGCTGGAGTCCAGCTGCATAGGCTTTCGGAACTCAGGTAGCTTTTGCTCTCTGGGGTCAGATTATTTCCAGGAGCCACCCACAGTGGGCAAAGAAGTACCACAGATGCAGTGAGTGGGCGAACCCCTCCCCACACACCCTTCCCTTTCATCTCCACCAAGCAAGGATTAATCTTCCTTTATGATGTGATCTGGGTGTTGAATAGAGACCTCAAGTTCACATACATGTTTTTTGCAGCCATTGAATGTAACTCGAACCCAGGCTTGACTCAGATCACTTACTTTGCTTTCAAATACCAAACAAAACCAACAAACAACTCTAGAAATGATCTGAGTCATCTGTATGTATATAAATTCCTGCTTCGGGCACTGGAAATGTTCCTGTGGTTTGCTTCAGTACCACCAAAGAGAGCTGGGGGTGGCATTGACACAGATGGTGAAAAAGGCCCGTCAAGCACAATGTGACTGGTTTGCAAAAAGGGAACCTTGGTGAAAGAGTTGCTTTTGAGCTGAAGTCCTCTAAGGGAATGTGCAGAAGGTTTCTGAGACTTTCTCTTTTTAAAGATTTCTTGCTTTCTTTCTTTCTCTACTTTCCTTCCTTCCTTCTTTCTCTCCCCTCTCTTTCTTTCTTTCTTCCTTCCTCTCTTTCTCTCTTTCTGTCTTTCTGCTCTCTTTCCTTTTCCAGACAGATAAGGAGCTCAGAGTCAGGCAAGAGTGCATTGATGCTCACTGATTCCAAAGCATCTTTAACCTGCCAGGCAGAGGGACCTTTGCTGCTGGTTTTTTGGACCATTCCAGAAAGGTAGATCAGGCAAAGGAAACAAGTGTGGGGGGGGGGGGGAAGAAGAGATGTTATTTTGTAGATCGGTTAAGAATGTGAATGGAATCCACCCTCCCTGACTATCTAGCCAAAGGAGAACTTCTCTGTAGGACTCGAATGCTAACAGGAAGAGAGTGACCCAAATCTGTGCTCCGAGCCAACAAAGGGGGATGTGAACTTAGATCCCTACCAGCTTCCCAGCAAAGGTCTGCTGCTGCCCAGGAAGAAAGGGATGGCTTTGCTCCGAGGAGCCCTAGAGCTCATTTTTAAGCTGCAGCATTTGGTATTTGACTTGCTTCGTTCATGGTAGAGCCAGGCAAGCCTATTTGGCCAGAGAAGAATTAAAACCTTCTTCCGGAGGAAGTGGATTGGATTTTCATAACTTGATACTGCTTCTCAAGGAGTCCTTAGGTGGGGACATTCTGTTTCTCTAGGGAGTTGGCAGTCACTGTATTAATAAGAGGATACTCCTTGGAACTTCTGGGACGTTAGTCCTGTCATTGTGTGAATGAAGAAACTGAGGTCAGAGACTGACATTGGGCCAAGCCTTGGCTGAGCCCCGTCTTTGGTGTCTGGGAGTGGCTGTGTGTGGTTGGCAAGCTCTCAGATTGGTCCCATTTGCCAGCTGTGTGTGTACTTGTGTATTCATGTACACCAAGTTTGTATACTATAAGCACCAAGCTCCTTATATGGATGTTCAAGCAGCCACTGTCATTTCTGATGGTTCAAGTAGGGCACAGGGTTATAGCATGATGTCATCCTCGGGGGCTTCCCCCCCCGCTTCATTTCTAGATCTTCGTTGGGAATTTCCAAGCATCTTTATTAGTGTGGCTCTCTCTAAAAAGATCAAATTATTAAGTAGAATTTTTACCTATAAAGCAGAATGGAAGAGTGCCACTGTGGTACAACTAGAGACTGGCCCAGAACCCCTTCCACTCAGCGCCCTGTCCCACTCCTGCCACCCTCTGAAAACCTCAGGGTGTTTCTGTGGAGCCACAGGACTCCCTGGCACAGAGGCAAAAACCGTGGGTTGCGTAGACTGTTGAGTTGGAGTTTCTTCTACACACCTGTTTACACTGTCTTGATCTGTGTTTCAGAAAATGACTTTTAATAATGATTTTTAGCCCTCTGACTTTTTGATTTGTAAGATACCTATTTACTGTTGAAAGTGTACAAAATACAAAGAAATTACAAGCATCTCTTGGCTATAATTATACCCCCCCTTCCTGAAAGAACCATGTTTTCTTATTGGAGTATCCTCCCCCGACCCCACGCCCAGAGAGACTTCTTTGCGTGTATCTTTGGAAGCTTGATTTTGATTTACTGTTAAATATGATCATGAACTTCCACAAAAAGAACTGAATGCAAAAAGGAGAGTAAAGGTATAAATCCTTAAGAAAAACAGAAAAGTAGATGATAGAGGAGGAGGGATGAAAGGTGGGGATCAGCGGGGTGAGAGAGAAGCAAAGCTTAGAAGGTTGAATATCCCAGCTGCGAGGAAGGGGAGCTGACATGTATACAGTTCCCACTAAAGGCTAAAAAATGAGGGCTACAGAATGATCCTGACGATGGGGTGCAGGGGGCAGGTGGAAGCAGGAATATGAGTTGGAAGTATGTGTTAGAGCCACAGACCCCTCTCTCAGGCCACCAGGCAGCTTCCTCCCCCACCAGCTGGTTCCTACAGGCAGTGTTGAACCAGGGCAGCCGAGGGTAAGGGAGGCACCGTGCTGAGAACAGGAGGAGTCAATGAAAGTTTGCGTGCTGAACAGAGAGACCCTGTCTTGCTACTCCCACAACATAGCTGTCTGGCTTCTACCCACCCTCCAGGTAGGGTTTTGAAGAACTTCTCTCTGAGGAAATGGACCTCACATGAAAAAACCCTCCTTTGTCCCTTCACAGCAATACTAACCAAGCAGCTAGGCCTGTACAAACAGCTCTCAGTACCTCGCTCTTAAATTGGAATGGGCAGATCTGGTACATCGCATGTCGAATGAGTCCTCTAGCATGAAAGACAGAGACCCAAACCGATAGGAAAAAGAGATTTCGAAGCCATAAACATGGTTGTCTTTAAAAAGGAATATTTAGGGGACTTCCCTGGTGACACAGTGGTTAAGAATCCACCTGCCAATGGAGGGGACATGGATTCAGTCCCTGGTCCGGGAAGATGCCACGTGCCGTGGAGCGGCTAAGCCTGTGCCCCATAAGTACTGAGCCTGAGTGCTGCAGATACTGAAGCCCACGTGCTTAGAGCCTCTGCTCCACACCAAGAGAGGCCACCGCAGTGAGAGGCCCATGCACCCTAGCAGAGTAGTCCCTGCTCACCACTGCTAGAGAAAGCCCACGCAAAGCAACAAAGACCCAGCCAATAGATAATTTATTAAATTTGAAAAAAGGAATCTGCCTTGCAATGCAGGGGATGTGGGTTCGATCCCTGTCAGGGAACTAAGATCTCATATTCAGAGAAGCAGCTAAGCCCACGTGCCACAGCTAAGAGAGTCCATGTGCCACCAGGGAAGATCCCACATGCTGCAACTAAGACGTGATACAGCCAAAGTAAATAAATAAATATTTAAAACATAAAAAGGTATATTCATAAAATAATAAGCTCTTGGATATCAAAACTAGGAGTGGAAATTTCAGTAGAATAGTGTTGGATGATAGAACAAGGAAATTCTGGAAAGTAGGACAAAAAGGCTTGAGAGATGGGAAAGAAGAAAGAAAAGATAAGAAAATGAGAATAAGTTTAGGAGGCCCAGTATCCATCTCATAGAAGCTCAAGGGAAAGAAATGGAGAAGAAAAAGTTATTAAATAAACACCAGGAAAAAAAAATCTAGACATGAAAGAGTTTCTGCGTTGAGTCTCTGTAGCACTGAGCACAGTGATAATAAGATACACTACATCAAAGTAAAAAATGTTCTAAGGGACAGCATCATGAACTTTCAAAACTCCAGAGATAGAGAGAAGTTACTAAAAGCCAGCACAGGGAAAAGGAGCCACAAACAGAAGATCAGAGAACAGAATGGCATTGGACTTCACAAAAGTAACACCAGAAAAGTGGGGTGGAGTGGGGTGGAAAGCAACATCAGAAGTTACATGGAGCAACTCTTTCAAGTTTCCAGGGGAAATTAATTCTCAATCCAGAATGTTGTAATCACCATTCAAGCAAAACATTTTCAGACATGTGAATTTTCAAAAACTTTACACACACATACCCTTTGTATTCCTTTTCAAGGAAGCTACTGGAGGATGTGCTCC